TAACTATCATGGCTGAATCACAGAAAATATAAAGAACTTAATTTAAACACATTTTTCAACTCTGGAAGAGTCACAAAAACATCAGTTAAGTGCTTCAGCCCACAAGATACCTTACTTAAATCAATTTTCAGAGAAAAGCATGTGCAGCTCTGACTGTTACTAGGGAATAGGCAATGTTAAATTATGAGTCATCCTAGAACAGAGATTGACATGAATCATAAACACTAGGAATCTAATCCTCTACTATTATGTTGTTTAGCTTTATTCTCTTCATTTATATGATACCTCATTTTCAAGATGTTAAGCAATTTTCTTCCAGCATAAAAAATTTGTTTCCTACGTAATATAACTTGGGAATTGATTCATATATAGATAAGACAGCTAGCATATCTATACTTTATTGAGGAATCAATAAAAATGAAGTCCCGAGAGAGAGAGAATGCATTTAAGAATGATGCTGTTTTGTAGTCTGTGGTCATGCACATAGTGTCTGATTTGTTTTGCTTCCAATTGAGGTAATTTCCAATTAAATTAAATCTCTGATTAACTTCAGTGATTTAGGGATGAGCAGGGATGAGAGATGCTTGCCTACAGTCTTCAAAAAATGTATTTACATGTAATAAGAATGCTTTGCATCCATATTTGACCATAGTATCATTCCTACTTTCAAAGCAAATTGCATTGCTTAGTTTATTGAGGCTAAGACCAGAGTCCGGAATTCTGATCAGAGTTCTGCCCCTAATATACTGCATGGCCTTCAGTTGTATACAGATTTCTGTCAATAATTTTCTGCTCCTTGTGCTAGCGGGAGTTGGTTTTGGCCACATTTGTCCAGGGGGCTGTGTGGGGCACGTGTGGGTGGCAGGGGTGTGTGGAAGGGGGTGGGAGGGTGGCAGGTGCCTGACAGTTCTGGGGGAAGGTGCCCAGGTGCCAAGGCTGCAGCAGGGTACGGGGGTCCGAGGCAGCACTCCATGCTGCTGGCAAGCCCATCTCTGTGCTGTTGCCAGCAGGGTCCACCCGGAGGCACTTGCTCCTCCAGTAGGGGAAGGAGGTGGGGGTACTTTGGGGGTGGTGAGGAACTGCATGGCCTGGCTGGTGGCACCAGGAGCTGCTGCCTGTGCTGTCAGGGCCAGGGCAGGGCAGGGCCACCAGGACACGCTGCCTGGGAAGCAGGGAGGTGAGCCTGTGGCCAGGCCACTTGGCACAGTGCAGGAGCCCCAGCCCAGGGTGCTTTGTAGGCTGGAAGGCTGCCAGCCTGTGAGGGTAAGCCCTTGGTTTCCTGCGTTTTTTTCCTTTAAAGGGGAAAATCCACAATTTTCTCCTTTAAGGGGGAAAATTTACAACCCCTGGTCATGATTTTCAGGCGAAAAGTTTTGTGACCTATGTTTAGCTCTTTGTTGGCTAAGCTGCTTTCAGCTCACCATATAGATCTTTTAGAGCTATCTCTCTCATGTTGTGCTCCCCAACTACACTGAAGCCTGCTCCGTGTGTGTGTGTGTGTGTGTGTGTGTGTGTGTAAATAAAATATGCACACACACATACACACACTTGGCTCTTCTGGAGAAGACTTGTTTGAAAAGTATACGCTTACTGTGAAAATAGCTCTAAACTGTGCATGTATTTACGGTGTGCGTGTGCAAATGTGCATGTGTGTGTGAATGATAGAGGGCACACATGGTTGTGTTTCAAAGTAGAGCTGCTTAATAATTCCATTAAAATATATTGCATGCAATACCACATTACTATGAAGAATTAGTACTTAGTATTTTTAATAGATCAGAAATTTTTTTTACATACATCTCCTCTTTTTTGTATAAAGAAAAAACAGAAAATCAAACCCATAGATCATCTGACAAAAAAGGAAGGAAACCAAAGACTGCTGGAAGCAATGTGATTGTGTGACAAAGCAGGAGCAGCGGCTGGGACTCCACAACCGGACAGGAGATATTTAAAGCATCTTGCAATGTTAAAACCTTTTATCTTTTAAATAAAATTCCTAAGTTGTAAAATATCATCACATAAATAATGTAATGGTTGCAGAATTCCAATGTTGTAGTGAAATGTTAATGAAATATAACTTTAGCTATGTGCTTTAATTACTGCAGCTAAAGAGACAGGTTTTTCTTTTCTTCAATTATGCCTCTGTAGTTCAGATTCTTGAATTTAGGATACAGGTCTCCTCAACTTAATTGGACTTATTCACAGTTTTAGCAGTTCCTAACATCTGTTGGTTAATAGATGTTAAAAATAAGTGAAATTGCTCTACATATGAGGAAATGACTTCACATTTTAAAGAATCTTCAATTTAGTTGATACTAAAATCCGGAAGCACTGATAAGCAGCTGTCCTGAAGCATAAACTGCAATAGGATTGTGCTGTAAATTTGAATGTAGTCTTGCTACAAGTTCTAACACAAGTTTATAAAAATCCTTTACAAGTTTTCCAAACATTTTAGGAGCAAATACATCTAAATATGAAAATTATTTCCTTTGTTTAATAGAAACGGTTTTGTTGTATAAATACTTTAATTTTTAGTATTTCAGATTGTATTTTCACTTTATCTAATAATTTTAAAATGATGAATCTAGTTTTTAATTAGCTGTTTATTCAGGCTATCATGCTTCAGCTCTGTCAACAGCATTTGTTTGTATTAATGCTAATGTTTCTAGCAAAATTTGCCTGTGAAAACATGCAGTTCTATTTAAAAAAAGTTCTATTTATGCCAATACTTGAGAGATACTGTATGAAGCTATTGTCAGCTTCTCTATTTCAAAATGCAATCAGCATAACTATATTGATATCAGAAAATATCTGTTTTTTAAATCTAGGTGTATGATAAAGATGATCTAATTTGTGAATGCATATGTGTGTGTGATTACTTTTTACAGTGTAAAATAATGAATGATTAATTTACTCAAAATAAAACCTAGGACAATGCAATACTTGCATGTTTGTGAAAAAATGTTATTTTTTCGCAATGTTTATTTTATAATGAAAGAGAAATAAAGGCATTTAACTATAGAAGTTATTTATTTAAAAAAATAACACTAAAGCCAGATTCACTGTTCTCCTGTATTAAGTACCTAAAATGTGTATTAAGACTTTCCAGTGATCTCACATGTGATATCTAAATTTATTAGCTTGTTAGAGAGTAAATCTGAACTTTGTTCAGCTTGGTCTTTTCTTTTTTTAATATAATTTATGCACAGTACTTGGACTTCATGTATATAAATCATTAGTGGTTTGTGTTTGTAGTATTTGTTCTGAAGCCTGACTTGAGCTATTGTTCTGAGTTTTATAGTACCAGTGTTGTGTATTGATGCAGCCACACAAACATCAGAACATCCAGAGATCAGCAGTGGCATGATTATTGTGTGACTTTGTCATTGATGCCATCTGCTTCATCCTCTTGATCTGCTCAGACTGGTGGCTCTTTCAACAGGAAAGTCAGGCATAAGGTAGGGCAGGAAACCAGGAAAGTCCTATTTTCCTTTCTCTTTATACTAGCTAGCTAAGCTACTAATACCAATCACACACCAGGGTAAAACTTGGGCACAAAACCCACCTCAAACTTGAACTACTAACCTGTGCTGAACTCCATGCCACTATGAGTACACTAGTACCACTACTCAAGCTTGCTTCAGTATATCTATCCTGCGCTGTGGTCAGAAAAAAGTGTGCACTACTCTCTCATTCCTTCCTTCCTTTCTGGCTGCGTTTATGGATTTATCTCTCTATCTGCCTGTACCTTTCTAGCTCACCTCTCAGTAATTTGAGTGATCTTGGAGAGGCCTCATATCCTGTTTGGCCAATTTTTTTAGTATCTGAACAAGAAGAGTTCTGCTTAGACTTGTAAACTGTGTGAGAATTCTATGAAGCAGCAGGAAGAAGCTACATGTGACTCCGTGCCCACTGGTACAACGTCATGTTCTATATGTAGATTGTATGTTGTTGTCATTTTGTGTATTTAGTCCACAATAAGATCCATATGTTGAAAAAGGTCTTTGCAAAGCAGTTTGAAATGATCTTTTCTGATTTCAGTCTTTAGTCTGTGAATGGAGTTATTTTCCCTTATATAGGTTTGTAGTTTTTAATTAAAGGCCCTCTACTAGATTTAGAGAACTCCTCAGATTTGATAGATCCTGATCATGTGCATCACCACGAGATCTAGATGATACTGATAATGTCATTCCAGGATGGTGATACAAAGTACGACCAAAAGAGTTGGCTTTTCTAGCTACAGAATGAGAGAGTTTTTTGGGGAACATTTTGGTTTTTTTAATAGAAAGTCCAGTTTTTAATATGCTTTTATTTGACATGAGAAACTGAGATGCATTTGATAAAGGTAAATAAAACCTTGAGCTAAAAACTCTTGTCTTACTTTCGCTATTTCCATTACAGTAATATGTAAACGAAATTCTCCAGAGCAGAACCTGTAAATCCCATTCTTAGGATTTGACTGTTCCCACTGAAGCAAATGGTAAAATCTCTGTTAAGATCAATGACAGTGAGGTCCCAATTTGTCTCCTTGTAGTCAAAAATATGATTAGTGAAGAAGATCAGGCTGCAGTGTTTGGATGCAAACTTCCTGGATGTTTTGATACATCTGAATTGAAGATTTTGATTCAAGTTTAACTCTAAATAGAGTTTTGCCATTAAAATGTTGAATTTGGGGAATTCAGGCTTGAGTTTCTGAAACTTTTAATAGTGGTTCTACAAGACGTTTTTGGGGGTTGAGAGCCTAGTTGTACTTGATGTGGATATTGACTTTAAAACAAGAATTTTTGTTTTCATTTTGATGTTTTCTATGGAAAATACTTCCCCCCCTTAATATGAATTGTGCAAAATGGCAGCTCTCTTGTTCAGTGGGGAATTAAATTTAAACAAACATCAGCATCTTTCAACTCAAATCATTTTATTGAGTTTGCATCAGTACAGAAATAGCTAGATTAGCTCACAGAATCATAAGATTCTAACTGATTATTTCAGTGTACCATCAGCAATTTCAAGTCTACTATTGAATGGCTGTTGGAAGATAGTTGGGAAATGTATTAAATAACATAGCTTTTGAACAGATCTCCGTCACAATTATTGATTCAATGAGGTAATCTGGGCACTCTGGCATTAACAAAATATACTTTAATAGGACCTGCTGCTGGTTCAAAATAGGAAGCTATTCTGATCTAATTTTCCATATTTAACATTAGTTCTGACGAATGCAAAGTAATAGTTTAAAGAAAACAAAAATAAAACTTGGTGCATGACATAGATAGAAACCATTGTCTTTATTCACAGTTCTGTAGGGTTAACCACCCTGCCCATGAAAATCAGTGTTTTAAAAGTTTCTTCAAATACCATGAAAAGGAATGGTCTGTTCACTCTAATAGTAGGTGGCACTGAGTATGCAGTCATTTCTGACCCACTAGCAGCTGCTGCTTCAGTTCCTCTCTCATCCACTTCAATTACTGCTCTTTGGATAACCTAAAATACAAATATAATGCTGTTAGTTTTCTCATTTTATAACATGGAGAATGTTTCTCAAATTGCCAAACATCTAATCTGTGGTGAACCTCAGTGCAGAGGAATCAACTGAGGTTCACAATGTGGCTCTGACATTGCAGAGTTGGTTTTTGGGTAGACCTTTTGTACTTACAAAGAGCATCATTGCCTTGAATATGAATCAGCACAGATACTCTACTTTGCTCATAATTTATTAGTGGTCAGATCAGATTCTAAGAAGCTTTTCTACATATATTTTGGAAAGTAGTTGGACAACTTCAGCATTTGTACTTTGGCAAAGATTTTTGTGGGTGATTATCTTTCGTTTGGGCTGACCAAATAATTGGGAGGGACACAGATGATCTTTTGTGTACCACTGCCCTTCCTAGGTCTGATTAAAAAATGCAGATACAGCAGAGGTAAACAAGATACAGAACAAAGACCTGTGCACAACTGCAATGTGAATAAAATCAGGGCATAAGAGAGATTATCAGGTGGCTAAAAGACAACGAGAAAGCAGTAATGTGAGGGTAGTTTGTAGCAAGACCATTTAAGATGGTCATTATCACCTGTCAGGCAGATTGATTTCAAGAACCACTGTGTCTTATCCCTGGTTCTTAGGCTGGGCATATTTCTCTCATGTTTCTCTCAAGGTCTTGTCTTTTCACGTGTAGGCTATAATTAATGAATCTTTTTATGCATTCAAGTGTGGGACAGTAAATGACATGAGTATGCGGGGAGGGGGTGTTGTAGCAGGTTGCTGGTGGGCATTTGGTGTGGCTCTTTCAAAGGTATGGCCTATTTCATCAGTTTTCAGTTTGGTGTAGATGGCACAACTATTTTCAAAGTCAGCATGGTGATGTCAGGTGTGCTGACTGTAGAGTATAGCTATTTTGGTATGTTTGGTACAATTGCAGGTTTTGTGGACTGTGTGGTGGTCCATGGCTTTTTTTTTTTTTTTTTTGCATATAGTTTTGTAGGGTGCCATCTTTGGTGTAGATCATGGTGTGTTAGTATAGATGTTGATGTTAGTATAGGAGCATTGCAGGGAGAATGATTGAGTGGTGGCAGCAACTGAACCAATGGTAAAAATCAGTAAGCCAGTCCACGTGTTCAGTTCCGATGATGAAAATGGCATCTATGTAAAGCAGGTGCAGTGCAGGGTTTGGTGGTGCAGTTTTCTAGAAATTCCTCCAGGTGGCTCATGAAGAGGTTGGCATATTGTGGAGCATCTTTGTGCCCATAGGTGTGCCCATGGTTTGGAGGAAGTGTTGGTTGTTGATAGTGAAGTTGTGGGTGAAGACGAAGTGGATGTATGTAATAGGTTGTGATTGCAACCGAGTGTAGTCTGTGTGGCATTTCAGGCAAGCAGTTATTATGACTTTAGGGTGTGCAATATTACTGTGTACCTGGTGATGTCCAGAATTGCAAAAACAGTCTTCTCGAGGAAGGGCTTGATGTTCTGGATCTTGCCGAGGAAGTCTGTTGTGTCTTGTAGAAAACTTGGCCTTTGAATGATAGGAGGTTTCAAGATTGGTTCCTATGAATCCTGATAGCTCTTCAGTGAGGGTACTATAGTTGGATATGATGGGTCTGCCAACATTTGTGAAACTTTGGAAGCATATAACATGTTTTTGGGGTGGGATAATGGGGGAGAAGTACAAACAGATTTTTTTTAAGCTGGCATGCAAAGAATTTGATAATGATTTCCAGTTCAACAGTGAATACTTGTGTGATGTCCTCCCCAAGTTCTTTATAGTAGTTGATGTGAGAGAGTTCTTTAGAGTCTCATTGATGTAGTCTTGATGGTTGGGGATGACAGTAGCTCCTCCTTTGTGTCCTGGTTTGTTTACTGTTTTGTTGTTGGATTTTAGGGACTGTGACTTTTCTCTTTGAAGGGGAGAGGTTATGGTGGTCCTGGCTTTTGTTGAGAATTTTGCTGTTAGCTTTCTTACTAGCTCAATTGATTTACTAGTGCAGTATGTGGCTCTATCTGCTCAGAGGTGTCCAGTTGGGTTTTTGTTGTTGTTTGTCTTGTGTTGTGGCAGGAAGGTAATCCTAAATTCTTTTGTCCTGGTTGTAGAAATATTTAGGCAAATTCTGTGGAAGAATTCTTCCAATTCTCCACATACCAGTACCTTGTCAGATTGTTTCTCTGGGCAGAAGTTCAGGCCTTTGAAGAGCATAGATAATTCAACCAAGTTAAAGGGATAGGAAGTTTTGTGTCAGGTTAATAATCGGTGTTCTGGATGGTGCTGTCTTGGTGCTCTCCCATGTTGCTGGTGGCCCTTTTCGGAATCAACTCTTACACTTTCTCTTATTTTGGATAGCTTTCATCAGACTTTTTGGTAGAAGGCTCAGGTATGTTGCCTAGTGATAAAGTATGTCTCCAGTTTTATATCTCTTAGTTTAGTAGTGTAAGTAAGTAGGTTCTGTTTAAGTTGATTTCTGTTAGCATAGATTAGGTGAAGGAGATTTTCCCTCTCATTTTTCTGAGGTACTCTTGTACAGTTGTGCTGGACTTGTGTGTATTAACTAAAGGATTAATTAAGTGATACAAGGAACATTAAGTCCTCTGGGGATGATGTTTCTTATACAAGCCTAAGATGATATCACTATGTAATCTTGCTTTTTTTTCTTTATTTTGTGGATTTGTAATATGACTTTTTTTGTAACGTGGCAAGATACTTGTTTCCGCCAAAAGTAAAGATTTGGACTTAAAGCTGCCCCTCCCCCCCGCCTGATTTCATGCCTAGCTCAAATTGGCCAGAATTTGCTTTACAATCTTCAGATACTCTTTACAAAAAGTTTGGAAATGTTTTCAGTTCCTGCTCCTGCTGGCTGTCATTTCTGGATGCCTATACACATGCTCAGGAGTGGGGAGGAGGAGGGAGGGAGTTTAATTAGAATGGTTTGTGGATATTCACTCCAATTAAGCTCCAATACCCGCCACACATTTAAAATGGCCATGGAATGCTTTATCTAAGCCTTATTAGATTAAATTTAAACAAAGTGCCCAAGTGGCCATTTAAAAATGTATGGGGGCTTAATACACATGATGGTGAGGTGATGCTGGAGCATTATAATTAGAATGCGAATCAGCATGTATATAGGCAGCCTCTGTATCTAAATGTACAGGGAAATGTTTAAGTATTCAGGCAGGGGCAGACCCAGAGGGGATGTAGCAGCATGGTTGCACACCCCTTGCTTATGCACTGCATTCATAATGAACTCTCTGAGCTCACTGGTCTGTCTGCAGAGCACCTGTTAGAGCTCTTAGTAGTTAAAATCTCCCATACTGGCACAACCCCCCCCCCCCCCCAGCGTGGCCCAGACCCTGATCAGTATGCCCTGATACTTACCATAGGAACAGAGACAGGTAGCAGCTGGAAAGAGACCCAATGCCGACACAAATGCAGGCTCAGCAGTTTTGCAGCTGCTTGAGCCTGTGTATCAGTGAGAGCTGGGCATGTGGCTCCTGAGCAGCATGGGCTGCTCAAAAGGTAGCTGGGGATCTAGCTGAGGTGGCGCCATGGAGCGAGGAGCAGAACATCAGCTGGAAGATGCCGGCTGCGGAGCTGGTAGGCTCCAGCTCTAGCCACCACGAGAAGGAGCCGGGTGCCTGCTAGGGGACCCAGACAGATGAGGCAGAGGGCAGCCTCGGGGGCCGACAGGGGCAAGGGAGCCCCAGTGAGAGGCAGCAGCCTCAAGGGACGCTGCCAGGAAGCAGAGGGGCTCTGACCAGAAGCTCAGACACCAGGGCTGGGGACAGCTGCTCAGGCCCACAGGCATCCCCAGACAGACCTACAGCAGGCAGAGCATAAGGAATCACAAGCCCCCCAGGAGGGGAAGTAGACGGTGCCAGCTGGAGGGACCAGAATAACAGGACCACAGGTCAGCTGGGCCCCAGGGAGGTGACGGCAGAAGAGCCGGCAAAGGCTGGACACAGGGCGGTTGCCTGTACACATGGCTATTAAGATAAAGGGGACAGACAAGTCTTCCCCAAGGAACTGAGGGCCCAGAGAAAGGGAATCTCGGGATCCCACCGGCAGAAGCCAGTCATTTTCAGTTGAGTTTCTTCAGTTACAGTTTGACCCCGAACGGGGCAGGTTTAGTTTCTCAGGAGCGGGGAAGCTAACTCAGAGACCAGGGACAGACCCCTAAATATTGACAACCAGGAAGACCCAACCCTATCAAGGCGGGCAGTGTGGGAAGACCTGCAGGGAGCAGAATCTACCCAGGCCAAGGATGTGGTAAGGGTGGGGTAAAGGGAGTTTTGGAGCCCCATGAAGACACCCATAGGGTCGAGACCCCTCCGGGTCCCCCGGCAGGGAGCTGCCTCCCCAACAATAACACCAAAGACGTGGCAGGCGAGAAAAGGGGCAGTGCCCAGACCATCTAGGGGGCACCGAAATAGTGTTTCACCCTGATGTCACGGGGGCAAGACGCCAATGAAGAGGTCCCCAAAGCCGTACAACACCTTTATTGAATTTTGCTGCTTTTTGTTCTAATATGGATTTCATAGATTGCATAGACATTAGGGCTGGAAGGGACCTCGGAAGATCATCGAGTTCAGCCCCCTGCCTGAGGGGCAGGAAGTCAGCTGAGGTCATAGGATCCCAGCAAGATAAGTATCCAAATTTCTCTTGAAGGTGTTCAGTGTAGGTGCTTGAACCAGCTCCGATGGCAGGCTATTCCAGACCTTGGGGGCTTGGACTGTAAAGAAATTCATCCTTATGTCCAGCCTGAAACGGTCTTGCAGTAGTTTATAGCTATTCCATCTCGTCATCCCTTGGGGTGCTCTGGTGAACAAACATTCCCCCAGATACTGGTGGTCACCCCTGATAAACTTATAGGTGGCCATCAGATCACCCCTGAGTCTGCGCTTTTCCAGGCTAAAGAGCCCCATAGCTCTAAGCCTGTCATCGTAAGGTCTGTTTTCCTGACCTTTGATCGTGCGCGTGGCTCTTCTCTGGACTCTCTCAAGCTTCTCTACATCCTTTTTGAATTGTGGGGTCCAAAACTGGATGCAGTACTCCAGCTGCGGCTTCACCAAGGCTGAGTACAAGGGAAGAATGGCATCCTGGGATTTGCTTGAGAAGCATCTATGGATGCAAGCCAGTGTTTTGCTCACTTTACTAGCTGCAGCATCGCATTGAAGGCTCATGGTCATCTTGTGGTCGATGATGACCCCCCAGTCTCTTTCTTCTGTAGTGCTAGCCAGCATAGCACTGCCGAGCCTATAATGATGCTGCAGGTTTTTCTCCCAAGGTGGAGAACCTTGCATTTTTCAGTGTTAAACACTATCAGGGTCTCATTCGCCCATTTGCTGAGCCTGTCCAGGTCAGCCTGGATCACCCACCTGTCTTCTGGTGTGGATGCTTTGCCCCAGAGTTTGGTGTCATTGGCGAACTTGGCCAGTCTGCTTCTGACTCCAATGTCCACATCATTAATAAAGATGTTGAACAGTATGGGTCCAAGGACAGAGCCTTGGGGGACCCCACTGGTCACAGGGCACCATGACAATTGACTTCCGTCAATTACCATACTCTGAGTCTGACCACGGAGCCCATTTCCCAGCCAGCGGATTGTGGTGGACCCAAGGCCACAGTTGGATGATGATTGATGGATTCTCCATAGTGGCCATTAGGATTCTTTTCCAGCATCAGGTCCATGTATCATATCCTTGATCTTAGCAGACAGCACACTTTCTATTTCAATGTGCACTGGTGACAGGTCTGTTGATTCTTCTTGAGGAGTCTGCAGTCGCACACATCTGCCTCTTCCTGCTGTTGGTGTGAATCACTAGCCCTCTGTCTTTTGTTTGTCGTGGTCCCTGCATATCATCCTTTTGTTCTCTCACAATTTTCAGACTCATCTTGGTTCCTCAATAGATTTCAGTCTCTCTCCATTGTCTCTTCCTTTTCTGAGCTTAGCAGCTCTTATCTTCTTCCTTGTCTTCTAACTCTACCAAACAGGCATGTTGAATAGCCTTGGGCAGACACCTATGAAGACCTTTAGAAGGTTACTACATACAAGACCTATAGTTCTGGTATGAAATACCTTTTGTAGTGTCTCATGGTGCTAACAGGTACTGGATTCTGGTTGTTCCCTGGCTAGGTAAACAATAAAGGTGCAAGAAATCCCTTCCTATTGCTGCCTCCTTAAAGATTTGGGTAACAGTAGCCAAAATAAGGCATTTTATTTCATTTTTATTCTCAGTGTCTGTGTAATCTAAGATATAGAAGCAGTCCTGGATGCAGGTACATGCATAAGTGCTCTGAAACACTAAACTTAGTGTCATGCTTCCTCTCTCTGACCTACTAAGTCCTGAATACTTCTCTCTACAGTGGCCCAGCATCAACACGAAAGGCAGAGGGTATCCTAACAGCAATCTAGTCCTGTATTATGGTGGGTAAGGTGTTTTTCTGTAGGGCTGTGCAAAGCTTCAGCTCTGATTTCAATTCTGCAGAGATTCAGCCCGATTCGGTGGCCAAATCTCCGAATCTGAATTGAATCGGAGGACCCTTTAATCTCTCCGACTTGAATTGGAGCCCTCTGAATCGATTAGGAGAGATTTGGAAAGATTCTGATATTCAAACATAGACACAGCTTTAAAAGTTTTTCTACATACCTGTAGGTAGCAGGCGGCTCACGAACACTACGATGCTGGGGCGCATGGAGTGTCCCACAGAAGCACGGGGGGCTCCCCAGTGTGCTTGGCAGGAGACCTGGAAGTGGACCAGAAACACTTCCAGTCCACTTCTGGGTCCGCAGGAGAGTGCGTGGTGGGTTCCCCCATGGCCCCCTGGCTCAAGAACTGGTGCCTCCTGGGTCTGGGGGAGACTCCTTGGGTCCTCCTGCAGCCAATCGCCAAGCCAGGGGGAGGTGCAGGAGGGCCTCCCAGTGCGCTTCCCGGCGGACCCGGAAGTGGACCGGAAGTACTTCCAGTCCACTTCCGGGTTCACTGCCAAGCACATGGAGGCCTTGCCCCGCACTCCTGTGGAACGTTCCATGTGCCCCAGCGTCACAGTGTTCATGAGCTGCGCTGGTACCTCGAGGTATGTAGAAAAAACATTTAAAGCTGTGTCTGTGTTGGAATCGCTGATTCTCCAAATCAGCATCAAATCTTCAGATTTGGATTTGGCCAAATTGAATTGGGGACAGTGATCCGAATCAATTAACAGAATCACTGTCCCTGATTCGGGCTGAATCTGAATCAAATAGGGCCTGCTTCGCACACCCCTACTCTTCTGGAAGGCAAGAGGTAATTTGAACCTCTCAGGCTAAGGAGGTCTCTCATTGCCTCAGGCACTGTTCTAACTATCTTATTATTATATAAAAGGCAGGCACCCCATTGGCACCCTCTGCATCTTAAAACTAATTAAAACCACTTATTTGTTGTGCTCAATCTTGTCAATGTGCATTAGGTGTTCTCTGAGTATGCCTAGCAGATTTGATCCCTCAGGTACCTTGTTTGTGGATTCTGGCTAAGCTTAGGCATGAACTAGACTCTGAACTGCCTCGATCTGAGGCATTTACAGAAGCAGAACTCTAGAAAATATTTAAGGTCAGGCAGGGAGGTACCATTTGACTATGATGAGAGTTAGCGGACAAGATTTTATAGATAAAAATATTGAACTTCAGTGCCTCAGTTCCACCTAGATCTTTTAACTAGATCTAGCTACATGTTTGTATAGTTAAGTAGCCTAATGGGGTCCTAATCTTGGCTGTGCATTTTAGAAATGTATAATACAAATTATAAGAAGCAACATAATGCCCATAAGGTAAAGGAACTTGTAAGACTTACCTGTGATACTCTGGCATACATTTGATCTGTGAGTTGACTCAGGTCTGCCTGGTTTGTGAAGAGATTTTTAATTCCTAGAGTTTGAAGGAGTTTATGCATTTGGTAGTTCTGGTCTAGTTTGAACTTCGGAAGGAAAAAATCTATTTTTCTGTAACAATAATTAACAAATGGTCATTAATTCTAGGAACATATGAATATGTAAGGAACACTTCAAATATTGCTGGAAATCCACTCTAGGGTTGCATTCAGCAACATGCTACAGAAAAGGTGAAAGTTGAAATTTATCTGTATTTAGGTAGGTTGAACCTACCTAATTTGTCAATGACATCAAGGCAAACTCCTTTCCTCATGAAAAATCTCAGGGCCATATTGGTTGGAACCTCTCCTTCACTGTATTTGTCAGTAACTGGACAATTCAAGCCGCATAGTAACTTGAATACAAGGTATGAATTAATTTAGAATGGCTGTAGAATAACAGTGTCATCTACTGAACTTCGTTTTAATATAAGAATAATGTTATAATTCAACCCATGTCATAATTCTGTATCTACACAGGTCTGTAGGGCTTAGACTGGAAGTCCATTCACAAGTAAACTCTTGGTTCACCATTCTACTTCAGGGGAAGTGCCAAATTTAAGTTGACATTCAGGACTGCGGAAGGCATGGACTTGGAGAGGCTGGATTGTAACTTGCCAGAAATGAGCATTTCTTAGTGGAGGACAGGAGATGAGTCAGAGCCTTAAATTAATCTTTCAAACCATTCTCACTCATAGATTAATGAATGTTTTCATTTCAGGGACTGGTTTGCTGTAAAGGACTCATCCTTTGTGAACATACAATTAATTCCACACAGAAACTAATTCATTAGTGGGTGGTAAGGAACCAGATAATTTTTGCTTTACCTTGTTTTTTCCCCACAGTAAATATAAAGGAAATGACAATGAACAAGATGTCAAATTGTGCAAAACTATACCTGGTCTTCATGTTTCTGAGCCACAACTCCACAAGCTCTGCTGTTAAGTGGTCTTCAAGTGAAACATAATCTCCCTCCTTTTCTGGCACAGCAATCAGCAGGTGTACTCTTCCTTTGTAGGGAAGTTTTACCACAGTGCATCTTAAGTTCTCATCGAAAGTTGAGGCAACTTTGTCTGATTTGAACATCATGGGTACCTGCACACTTCTATATTTATCTATGTGGAAAAACTCTGGTTCTGTGAGCCTAGCGTTAAATGGGTGAATCCATTTGCCTGAGGAGACAAAAAAAGAAAATAATTATTTACACTTAAAATTGCTTATGGTAACAATTCAGAGATTCTTAAAAAGTTTTTTTTATATGTGTTGCTACGTCATCCCATAGGATCATGGGCCTTATGTGTTTGGAATGGATGGGTGACAACTTTTTAGCAAGTCTACTTTTAAACTCTTTATAGCAAAGGGCACTGATGCCCAATTTGAACTGATTCACTCCCTGAAGAAAGAGGGAAAAATAAGCAAATATTTGTCCTTTTTTTAAGTGTGGTCAGTAACCCACACTTTTTCAAAATGAATGAATATCCCTTTACCTGTATTTAAATCCTGTCATCTCACATCCTTTGTTGAACTGTTACTTGATTCTTCCATCTTCATTGGAAGACAACTCTACCTATTCAGCACTCTTTAAAAGTTAAACCTCCATAAATTCTTATGCATGGATCATTGACAAGGGCTACCTTGTGAAGTGCTGTGATGTGGACTGTGACATCATTTTTATCAATTATACCAAGCACTACATTTCATTTCTAATCTAGACAGAATCATCCTCTCTGGGATCTGCATGAAATCTGGTTCAGTTGAATTCAATTAAGGTAAGATGTCATGGAAGTCTGATGATAGAGAAAGTATTCGGAGAAATTAGGAAAAGTAATGAACATTTCACTCAAGGAGAAATGCTGCACCTAGGGAGGAAAAATGTCCAGCACACCTACAGCCTAGGGAATGACCTGCTGGGTGGCACAGTAGTGGAAAGGGATCTTGGAGTCCTAGTGGACTCCAAGATGAACATGAGTCGGCAGTGTGACGAAGCCATCAGAAAAGCCAATGGCACTTTATCGTGCATCAGCAGATGCATGACGAATAGATCCAAGGAGGTGATACTTCCCCTCTATCGGGCGCTGGTCAGACCGCAGTTGGAGTACTGCGTGCAATTCTGGGCGCCGCACTTCAAGAGGGATGTGGATAACCTGGAGAGGGTCCAGAGAAGGGCCACTCGTATGGTTAAGGGCCTGCAGACCAAGCCCTACGAGGAGAGACTAGAGAACCTGGACCTTTTCAGCCCCCACAAGAGAAGGTTGAGAGGCGACCTTGTGGCTGCCTATAAGTTCATCACAGGGGCACAGAAGGGAATTGGTGAGTTTTTATTCACCAAGGCGCCCCCGGGGGTTACGAGAAATAATGGCCACAAGCTAGCAGAGAGCAGATTTAGACTGGACATTAGGAAGAACTCCTTCACAGTTAGTGGCCAAGGTCTGGAACGGGCTCCCAAGGGAGGTGGTGCTCTCCCCTACCCTGGGGGTCTTCAAGAGGAGGTTAGATGAGTATCTAGCTGGGGTCATCTAGACCCAGCACTCTTTCCTGCCTATGCAGGGGGTCGGACACGATGATCCTGCCTATGCAGGGGGTTGGACTCGATGATCTATTGAGGTCCCTTCCGACCCTAACGTCTATGAATCTATAATGAAGGCATATGTTGATGCTTATTTCCTATAGAGGTTGCCAGTGTCTGTGTCCAAATTGGGTTTGTCTCTGTTCCTGGCTTTGGAGTTAGCAATGGTGGCCAAAGATGTTTTCTTTCAATTCTTGCTTGATATCTTCTCAAAATCCAGAGGTTGCCATGATTATCTATGTTGTCAAATCAAGACTTGGCTGTCACATTCCTAAATTAGATTACCTGTAACTACTTGGAAGTGCTAGCTACTGTAAACAATGCTTTGACTTGCAGATTGTCAGGGGTCTTTGATAGGGCCCAGTTTGCAGGGCCCCTGTTGCGCTGCCCCTGAGTCTGGAGTTGACCCACACTGCATATGGTGCACATTGGACTGGCCCTGTACACAGGCCCTGGATGCATGCCACACAGGTTGCCCCCTCCATCACAGCCAGTCCAGGACCTGCAATGCATGCAGCACCTTCTTCAGCCAGTTTCGTGTGGGTGCTGCATCCAGCACTGGTCCCAGACTGGCCACAGCAATGGCCACATGTGGAGCAATCCTGGACCAGTTGGAGTAGGTGCCACATGCTCTGCATCTGGCTTGCAGGGAGGGAGAGTCCGTGGGTCCAGCCAGACCCAAGGGGCTGGCTCTGCATGATTCATCCAATGCAAAAGGCCAAATGACTTTGACACCTCTGGATTATGTGTTATTCTCTGCCTTGTGTAGTTCATACAATATTAATTTACTGTGCTATTTTCTATCTACTGAAGCCTAAATTGTCTGAGATACAGTTTATAGATTTTATATCTGATAAGCAGTTCTCTTTGGGCGCTTGTCCTCAACATGCCAGAAAGTGGAAATCTTTGAACTGCTGCCTTGGAGTTTTCTGCCCTGCAGTTTGTTTCTTTCTCTCTTACTTTGGATCTCTTATTCTTTTTTCAGGAGATGATTTCCAGGAAAGAGAGAATTCTCTGCCTTCTGCTTTCCTGTGGAATTGTGTATGGTTTAAGCCTTTGAAGCCACTTTTTCAATCCCATAATCCTGAGATCTCTAAATACAGGATTGGACATCAGGCACACATAAGAAGAGCTTTGAGATTACTCCTGGCTGTAAGTGTCTTCAGGGGACTGGTAAAACATAAATGGAGCTTCCTTTGCCTGATGTATACCATCAGAAAGAGCACCTAAATCAGGGGAAGCTGCAGGGTTCAGAATTCAGTCCCAGTTGGCCTCTGTTGGATTAGTGACACTAAAGAAAACAGATGGGTTTTTATCCTGGACCAATTTAATCTGGGCGGTAAGATCCAGCATTGGTTGTTATGTAAAAAGACGGCCCGTTCTCTGGAGTGGAGAAAAGAAATCTTTGCAGAGACAGCCTCTCCCTAGTTTCCAGTCTGGAGCTGGTTTGTGGCTTGCATATATCTCCCCTCAGACCAGGAGCCTCTCTGCACTGTGCTCATTGACTGCAGTACTCTCATCAAGCACAGGAAATTCAGGATTCTAGTAACTTCTTTCTCTCATACTCTGAAAAGGGTGAGCAATATTTCTGATTAGCAATGGTTCTTTTCACTATGCTGTCTTTGGCAACTGTATTGTGTCCTGGCCAAAGCGCTGTCTGAGAGATTAATTGGTTTCTTAGCCCATGGTAAGTACATGCCCATGTCATAGCCATCATTACAATGGGTATTAAATGAAGGTGCTGGTAAGAAGACTATGGATTCAGTGGAGACTGAACAACATATTCAAGCCTTAGAAGTGGACCCTTCAGAAAAGGGTTGAAACACATTAACATCATGCTGAAAACTTTTCATTACCTCTGTGCTGCAGCTGTTTTGTGGATAGAGGTCTACAGTGTTCAAGGATCTTGGCACTACTGTTAAAAATCATTTACTGGAGGACAGGAAGAGGAAATAGAGTATAGAGATGGGGAAAATATTGCATTTTTTGAAAATCCTTTTCCTGAAAGTCAAATTAAAACACTTGTATTTGAATTATCATATCAGTTGCAATGTGTATCTGATATATATACTCACCCAGTTTGCAGCCAACTCAGTATCACTGACAAGTTTATCTGATATGTCTAAGATCTCAGTTACAAATATAGAGTAGCGATACAAATCTCAGTGGAATGTCTTAGTAGTTACACTAATGTAACTGAGATTAAAGTCAGACCTCTGGTCTTCATAAATGGTGATTTTATAGATTAAAATAAAATCTATATTTACCTTTAAAAAATACGTAATCCACTAGAACCAGTTTAGCATGTGTGTCAAAATCCTCAAAAAGCTCTTGGATTTTTCCTTTGGTCATTTTGTTAACATTCTGGTTTATGACCTCCTTTGCCTGTGTGGAGTTGTTAAAATCCACACTCCGGAATTCCATGTCAAAGTACTCCTTGGATAAATTGAGGAAAGATTCATTGAGACAGAAGTCCTTTTGGATAAAGGCAAAACTACCTTGCTGAAGAATAAACTCTTCATTTGCTGTGATGTTCTCCTTCAGTTGTTTAAACAAAGCTGGCAAGTGATAAGGATTCTCTTTGTCCTTCAAAAGGTGGAGGTTTAGACCTTGAACTATCTGGTTGTTTGTTTCCCCTTTGGTTCCAAGCATAAAGGCAGCCATGAGAAATGACAGAGAGAGAGGGGAGAAAAGAACATTGTTATCATGTTGCATGGCTATTTTTCTGTAGAGATTGAATCCAAAATTTGTGCTCTTTTCAGTGACATTGTAAACAGTGGATTCTAAAGGGACTTGCACTTCAAATGGCTTTGGGATATTTTTATGGTGAAAGTGTTCCTCAGAAATGCTGAAAGTCTGTTTCTTTGACAAGAAATGTTCTTTGTTCTTCTCTGGCATTCTGGTCTTGACAGAAGATGTGTTCATTCCCAAGCACATTTCCCATAAGAGAAGAAGACAAATTCCTGTTTTCATGTTGGAGTCCAGCTGTGAGTTGCTTTCTAGGACTGAAAGTGAAAAGGAGAAAGATTAGATTCTTACATTTAAAAAAAATTAAAAGTACTTTGTATCTAGAGGGGTAGGGTTGGAGAACAGTGGCAGAGAAGTGAAGGCATCTCCATTGCTAATCCAGAGAGATGAGTTTGAGCCCTGCTCCAGATTTGTGCCAGAGATGGCCCACAGTTGACCCAGTTATGAGTTATTTGGGTTGGAGAGTCAAAGGCAGCTAGATGTGTTCCCAGCCACATTATTCCATTATGTGCCTCTGGCTACAGAAACAGCATTATTGTAATCATGCTGGCTCTATGGACTGCTGGGCTCATTATATCCTTTAACAAATGTTCAACAGAGAGAGGTCAAATAGTTTCAGGCTCGTTCAATCATGTAACTCGCATCTACATACCCCTCATATACATCCCAAAAATGTGAAGCCTGAATGGTCAGTACCAAAATCAAATCAATGGAGGAAAGAATTTTCCATTCTTAAAAAAATGAATGCAAGAGATATCCAGATTTTGTCCATGGATCCACTTATTGTGCTACCTAAAGTTCATTATAAAGGTGCCTGACTTTCCATGTTTTAGGGTTGTTGGTTATAGCCATTTTGTGTAGCTGTGATCTCTTTTATTAGACTAAGTAAATAGTTGGAAAGATTGTTCTTTGCAACGATTTAGTTGGTCTAATAAAAGATACCACATCTACCCAAAGAACCTTTCCATGCTGCATTTAAAATGTGCTACACTTAACACAAAGGGCCCAAGTTTTCAAATGAGATGCTCAAATTTGAGGTCCAGGGTCTGATTTTCAGATGTGCTTTGCACACTCAGTTTTACCTGAAGTGGGTGAGCACTGCCAAGACGAATACAAATCTAGAAAAAGGAATAGAGAAATGACTTTTGATAACCGTGGGGTTGTTTGTACATTATGTATAAAGCATATATATAAAAATTGCTACTAGTCAAAATATTATTGTGAAATTTTAGTCCCATTGCGGAGAAATTCTGAGAATAAAGGCAAAGCAGAATAATCCCCCCTTCAGTTTTCCAGTCAGCTCTTCAAGCTAGTGAAAACAGCCTTGTTTTATTGACAGAGTAACAATAGTAAAAGTGAGAATATGATGGTAATGACTGTTCAAGAATGGGCTGTCTTGCATCTAGTTGTAGGGTAGCAGTGGGGCATGGATCCATGAATGAAAAACCAGGAGCAAAGTGGCAAGGGTAAGGGCCACTTCTGTTATAGGGTTGTGTCATCTGTTTCTCCCTTTTTGAAAATCAGGACAGCTTGACTTTCCATGGATTAACCTGTTCGTGTGTTCATCTCTAGAGATCTTATTACAGTGGTGTTTATACATACCTGGTATTTTGCTAAGAAAGTACAGCCTTTCCAGCTAGGAGTACAGGCTGATGCTGAAAAATGGTTTACCATTTCACACTCACTGTTTGATTCATTATGTCAGTATCATCCTTTCACTAGCTGTGTTCACACATGGAAAAATTCAGGGAAGGTAGAAGTAGGGAGAAAAAAATGACACTCGGTTTTAATTATGCTTATAGTACTACCTCCTTCCTTGTTTACCACTCATACACAATGTTATGCTTTTATATTGGTGGGCAGCAGGGTTTTGGCAAGAGAAAGGTAACTTGATGTGTGTGTTTTCTAATATTGGAGTAGACTCTGATCTTTAGACACATTTCACTGTTAGCAGCAGTGCTGTCTTTGCAGGAACAAGAAGTTTGTAATGCTTTTTGTGGAAGCAGTAGATTAACTCACTCCTACAAACATGAAGGAGGGTACAGTTGTATGTGGGGTAACAGATGGAGACTGTCTTTGAAAATCCTGCTGTGCAGAGAGTGGAAGAGACAGTAATTAAAAGTTTACCTTTATTTCTGTTTGTGTCTACTGAGCCTTGGTGGTGGTGGTTGGTGGGGCGGGGGAATACAATGCTACTGTAATATAGTGTCTGCAGCTGTTCATTCCATTTCACTCTTTATCCTTCTGAACTGGACTGTGTATTCTTCCAGATGGATCCCTATTCAGTCTCTACTGTGGTCTCCTGATCTTTCATACTTTGCTGATATAATGATATGTTTATTGTAAGACCCTGCAAATGCTGAGACAGGTTTATTAATGGTATCAACTGACTGAAAATATTCCTTTTGTTTCAGTATTAAGTGAACAGAGTGCAAGACCATTGTATTACATTTAGAAAAAATATATTCTTTCACAAACTGATTTCTAAGCACATTTGTGCAGAAGTTTCCTCGGTTCATTACAGCCTTGGAATAATAAGGTTACATTTTTCAAAAGGCCGCATCCAAATTTATTCTTTGTAACAAGTGGGCTGACCCAGCGCTGCTCCACAAGTTGGCCCACCCACTTGTCTAGGGCAGTCTGCCCACCTGCGTCTCCTGCCATGCCTTTGATGTAATTTAAGTTGTTCCCAGGCGGGAGGGTGCCCATTTGATCGCACTGATGCTAATGACAGAATACACGGATCCAAATCTCGAGGATAGCTCTGTCAGGCCTTCAGTCAGCACAGATGTAGTTAGGGATCTTCTGGAAGGGCTAGACATTTTTAAATCTGCAGGTTCAGATGCCCTCCACCCAAGGGTGTTGAGGGAGCTGGCAGGGGTCATCGCGGAGCCCTTGGCCCGGCTGTATGAGCATTCATGTTCATCTGGCCAGGTGCTGGGGGATAGGAAACTGGCTAACGTGGTCCCAATTTTCAAGAAAGGGAGGAAGGAGGACCCAAGTAACTATAGGCCTGTAAGCCTCACCTCAGTGCTCGGGAAGATCGTGGAGAGAATCATCAAGGAGCATATCTGTGGGGGGCCTGCAGGGGAGATCATGCTCAGGGACAATTAACATGGGTTCATGAAAAGCAGGTCCTGCCAGACCAACCTGATTGCCTTTTTATGACCAAGTAACTAAATCCTTGGATGATGGTGTCGCTGTGAACATAGTCTTTCTAGACTTTAAGAAGGCCTTTGACACTGTCTCTTACCCCATCCTCATCAATAAATTAAGCGACTGTGGCATTGATGCCTGCACAGTTGGATGGGTAAAAAATTGGCTGATGCGGCGCACCCAGAAAGTAGTGGTGGACGGGTTGTACTCAACCTGGC